TTTGTCTTCAGATAGACTAATGTCATTACTATTTTTTTTTTCTGTTGGTTTTCTCTTTTACTCTCTCTTCGTTTTAAAAAAAAATGGTGTTTATTAAATTTTAAGTATGTTTTTGTTGTTGTTGGAAAGAAAATTGAATAATTTAGTTATTATTTCGTTGAAATGTAATGCAATAGCTATTTTACTAAACGAAAAAAAAGAAGAAAAAAAAATTAATGAAACAATGGAAGAAGAATTATTTTGAGATCATATACACGATTGTGGCAACGATAGTGGCCAAATGACGCGTAAATGTTTTTTTTTCTTTTTTTCTTTCATTTTGGAAATTTCGATTAGACAAGGAAAAAAAACAATTTCTCAAAATTCATGCCGAATTGTGCATGGTTTTTTTTTTCGTTTAACTACGGTAAATTTCGGAGAATATTTTCATTTAAATTATTATTTTCATTTTTTTTTGCTTACTAGCTGCAATTATGTTCAAATCTTTTTTGCAAAAAGTGGATCACAAAATTTAATGGAAATGCGACACAGAAAAGACGAGATTTTTTGTTTTATTGTAAACTTTTTTTCTTTGACACACACAAACATTGAATTTTTGACGATGCGATGCGGCAAATTCACTGACACGACGAGAGGGGTGCAAAATTCAAAACATATTTTGAATGCACCGGTTTTTTTTCTACCCGGATACATTGGGAGACCGATTATAATTGTAATTTTACCGAAGAAAAAAAAATTGAATTGCTGACAAATTAAATCATCTCGCTATGATATTTAAGTTATTGTACAAGCACACGCACAAAATTGGCTTAAACATGTGTTGAATATTCAATCGGTTTTTTCTTTCGATTGGTGTTGATGTTATGGAAATGTTTGAAGAAGATGTTACTGTCGATAGACACAGAAAAAAAATGGGAGAAGAAATGATAAGAAGAGATCATCAATTGGATTTGCGAAGCAGCCAGGAGTGAGCAAAAAAAATACGTTCTTTTTCATGGGTTTTCTTTCTTTCATTTTCGTTACGTTTACTTAATGAATCCTTTTGGCTATTCCTATCTGATTAATTAGTACATCGGCTGTTCTCCTGTCAACGTGTCATAGATGTGTGCTATTTTGGTTGCTGTTGTTGTTTCGTTTGGTTTATGTTTCGCGTTGTTTTAAAAATTAAACGTTCTATTGAAATGTAATGGTTAATGCCTTGTCGCATATGTACGCATGGGTGTATGTGTGTGTGTGTGTGTGTGTGTGTGAGTTTTCAAACAGTGGAAACGCAAACATGTTGCACATCTTTTTGGAACTTTTACATAATCGGTTTGTTGTTCGTTTTCGTAGTTTTGGTAAATTCAATGTGGTTTTTGTTTCCCGTTTTTTTTCCTTCTAAATCTTAATTGTAAGGTGTGGGTTTGTGGGTGTTTCTTGTCATTGTTTTCTCATTTTAATTACAAAGTTTTTGTTTTTAAGTTGGTTCTACATGCATCCACTTGTTGTTGCAGTTTTTTTTTTCTGTTGTTGTCATTGTTCTTTATTTGCATTAGCATTGTGTGGTAAATTCTCGTTCCTTTTCCACATGGATTCAATTACAAATTTTCTAGTTTTTCGCTGTTTTACAATCTTTTTTTGTTGTTGTCATATTTAGTCAATTCTTAAGTAGTTTTTTTTTTTCATCTTCTTGTTTTTCGTTTGCTTCATTCAGATTATATAATTTTTTTTTTTGTTAAATTTGTGGTACTATTCCATTTCTTCTCTTCGCATTTTCACAATTTTTTCCATGCTTTTCTTTTATTTTTGTGTGCTGTTATTACTTCTTCTTTTTTTACTATAATTTTTCCGTTCTAAATTTCTATGCGTTTAATATGCAGTTTTAGTCGCTTTTGTGCCATGAGGATGGAAATAGGAATGCTATTGCATAAAGTAATCTGGGGGATCAGAATCTTTCTCAAACCTTTTCGCCTCTTCCTGCATGCTTTCCTTTATTTTGAGGATAGCTGCCGATTCGTTTTGGTCCTGAAATTGTGTGTGTGGGTTGTGTTTTCGGATGAATATGTTTCAATATAGGCGAGACAGACATACACATTGAGCAGATATCACGATAATTGATCGAAAAAGATGAAAATCACAGAGCAGATGGAAAAAGAAACAGAGAAAGAGAGATAAAACAGATTAGAATTAATTGTGGTTTTGCAATTATTGTTTTTTTTTTGGTTTTTGTTGTTGTTGTTGTTGTTGTCTTATAAATTATTTATCTAACAAAAGAAAAAAAGATATTATCAGGTTTTTTCTGTTCTTTTTCGAAAGATAGAGATAGATCGAAAACAAAACTCGATCGCTTACATTCCGAGGTCAATAAATTCAGAAACCGAAATAAACAAATAAAACAAATTAAATGAATAAGAATTAAAAAAAAAATCAACGAAATTAATTAAATACACAAAATAGAAGAAACACATATATGTTCATTATTATGATTTGTGATATTATTTTGATTAATGCAAAGAAACAATTATTTAAGAGTGATTTTGTTGTTATAGTTGTTTGTGGTGTATGAAATATTTAGAACAAAAATTAAGACGTGTTGAACATAAACATAAAATTTTGTATTTGAACGATAGACGAATTTTGTGTTGTGGCAAAGCAATACAGGGGATAATGGACTGTTTCAAATGTGCATATTCATTCATTCTACGGCAATTAAAATACATACTAATAGTCAAAACAATCAAATTTAAATTGTGTGGCCTGCTTCGGTGCAGAATAATTGTCAAGCGATCGTGCAACATTTTTTTACGGATTAAAATTGACGCCAAATCTATACCTAATAGGTACCCAACATTTACGGACTTTTTTACTGAAAACTACGATTCTTCTATTGTTTTCAAGGCTCAAGATGATCAACGCACGGTGCCGGATTTAGAAATTGGTAGAAAGCAGTGCTGCCTTGTGAAATCTTTCTTTTACCGCCCCAACGTATTGAGTTTGCTACTTCAGATGCATGGCTTGCACGTGTCCAGATCCGACACCGTCACTCAATTTTTCTTCTTTCTTTATCAGGAAAGAGTGCTTTATCATGATAAAAATTCAAAAAATCAAAAATGACATGTTTAACACATTAATTCGTCGAATGAACGAAAAATGCCATTTGAATTGCATCCGCAATGCCTATATACCTGATATCGGATATAAACTCTCTGTCTATCGTTCAAATATGCCAAAAAAATTAATTTAAATACACACTGAAAACCTGAATGGGAGCAAGGAGAAAAAAATATATCGAAATGATAGCAATCGTTCACCCTGTTCTAATTGTTTTAATTGTTCTGCTTTCGGTTTTTCTTTGTTCTCAAAAAAAAAGGTAATTCATAGCAAGTAGCAAGAGATAATAGAGAGATAGAGAGAGCAAAAGAATGAGTTTTTCTCGACTTTTTTGTTTTAGCTTTAAAGTCAGATCAAAAAACTAAACGAGATCAATAGTCGCAAAAATGAATTTAAAAAAAAAAAGTTAAATGTTACGCCTGAATCAAGCACACAAACCAGACCTCAAAAACGTCAAAACGAAAAATGAACCATTTATTATTTTCTTTTTGTTCTCATACCGTATACCGAATATTTGTCGGTCGTTTAATGTTTCGGCTCATTTTTATTTAAAAGAGAATTTAGTCAGTACTTTTATGCTTGGTGTTTAATTTATGTTCATTTTTTGAAGAGAATATAGGAGAAAGAAATGGGAATCATCAATATTCATTCAGAAAGTCCCGTTGCTAAGAGAAGAATTTGTGTGATTCGTTTTTCTTTTTTCTTTTTTTTTTCACTGTAATCGTTTTTTTTTTTAAATCTTGTCTAGATGCGATTAACTAACTGGTTAATTCCTAATTTACCTTCGAAATTTTTGGTTCTTCTTGTCCTTCGTGGGCGGTAAAGAACGAGGTAAATTTGTTTATTTCTGCCTCTATCTCACACATCAAACGCGGCGATTGTTTTGTGTTCGAAAACAAAAACGAAAATGATCATGAAGCTCTGATTCCACGGAAAATGTGTTTTGGGCGCAAAAACAGTCCGAACAGTTGTCTCGACAATGTGAGAGGACGCACGGCACGCGCCAAACAGAGGGAGAGTGATCAGAAGAGAATGGCCGCCAATTTGTGAAGCTTAGACAACAAACATCGACACAAAAGAAAAGAAACCCAGAGAGAAAAGCCATCTTTATTGTTTGCTTACATTTTCGATCGGAATCTTACGCATATTTTCAATGACGGTTTCGTTTTTTCTTTCTTTAAAAAACAATTCTGTTTCGTGCATAAACGCAATTTTATGTCTAATTTGAAGATCTAATACAACCTCTTTGGGGGAAAAAAATCTACAAATACGTATGTGCCATCACAGTCGCTTGAATTCAAGTGATTCGGGGCCGGTGTTGCAATTCACTTTCTTTCTTTCAATCTTTTTTTTTTCTTTTTCAATCCAGTGGTAGCGTTCATTGTTTTATTCTCATGTTTGCTATTGGGTTCTGTGATTCTTTTTCTGTGATTTAGTGTGTATGTGTATGTGTATGTGTGCAATTTAGAACGTTCAGCCTGCCCAATTGACTTGGTCACCCAAAACAGCTCAGCTGTTTTCGGTTCGGTCTAACTCAAATGATATACAAACAATCAAAAATCAAATGAATATGTCAAAAATTGCATTGAAATGTGTGTTCGAGCTACGGTACATTTAACGATGATGAAGTGAACAACAGAATGTGATCGAAAAACTATAGTCAGTTGCCAAAAATTAATGTCATCAAATTGATTTTGACAAAACGAAAAAAATAAGAATGCATCAATTGAAAAACATAACAACTATAAATGTTTTCATTTGGTTTAAATCGATGTGTGACCAAGTGTATATGAGTGTGTGTGTATGTTACTCAAGTGTTTGTTTATGGTGTGTGGTATGTGCGAATTAGACTGTGTATGTGTGTCTGTGTGCGGTGCAAATTTGTATTTGATATTTATTGGATTGTTTGATTTTGTTTTTGTTTTTTGGCTTGTTTGTTTTCATTTACGTCGCTGTTAATGCCAAAAGCAATCGGACACGAAAATTGAAAGAATATACATGTAAAAAAGGAATCAAAATAAAAAATATATCGTATTTATTCCAAAAATTACAAATTATAAATTTATAGTACATGATTTTTGTTTTGTTGTGTTATCGTTTTTTTTATATCCATTGTGTGTCAAATGCAAAGAAAAAAATGGGACCGATCTAATTAATATATTGTAATTGTGTGTGTATCTAATTGTGGTTCGTCGTGTGCGAATTTCTGGGACGTGTGCACACGATGAACGGTGAAAGAAAAATTGCTTTTTTTTTTCTTCTTCTCTTTTAATTTTAAACATAAACTAAGAAATGAAACTTACTACCTGGACTTAAATAAAAGAATACAGCATAATTTAAACAAACAGACAAAAAAAGAACGGATCTAATGTAAAAAAAAAACTTTTAGTTTCTGTTTTATAAATGTACAGCATAAGAGCAAAAAAAAGGAATAAAAAGAGAAAAAAAAAAACTAAACAAAACAAAAGAAAAAGTATTTCATTTCAAATTTCTTCGAATTTTTCCGATAATTTTGAAACATTTATTTTTTCTGCGTTTCCGGCTTTGAATTCATTGATCTTTTATTGATTGCCCGATGGAAAAAGAAATTTTGACAACAAAAAAAAAGAGACAGACTTTTAAATTAACTGTTTCGAAGCACACACAAAACAAATACATACCAGGAAAAATGAACCGAGACTGTTATTATATAATACTTCTTCTTTCATTTCAAGAGAACGAGAAATGAATTTCGTTTTTGGATGAATGTTATGGACTACGTTTGTTTATTTGTTTGTTTACATAAAGTTGCTTGAATTGAATTTGATATCGGAATTGTTTCATTGTTAAATGGATGCCAAAGACGGAAAAAACATCACCTGAAAGATAGGAGATAATTCGCCATTATCCGAGATAACGTGTGTGAGAGAGAGAGAGAGAGAGATTGTGTGTGTGTGTATGTGTGTGTGAGAGAGAAATAGAGAGAATGAATGTGATTCGGACACCAACACAATTGCAACATATCAACTCTCTGTATACACAATTTCAATTATAGTTCTATTAAATTTTTGCTTGTGTTTTTGTTCATTTATTTTGAAATTTTCTTTCTCTTCTAAAGAACAAACACGACTAATTGATACGAAATTCATGTGCCAACTAAATTGATACGAAATGGCAACTTCAAAACACAAGAATGACAAAAGAACGAGAGACTACCGAAGACATCAGTTCGAAAACAAGTTCATTCAAATGAATTGAGCGTGAAACATCGAACGAATTATTTGCATTAATTTGACAGTTTCTGTTTAGCAAACTGAACTTTTCGAGTAGCTTGGGCATGGTGCTAATGGTTTGTTTGTTTTGTTTTTTTCAAATTTTGTTTGTTTGATGCGTGGTGCGTTTGTGTTTGTGTGTGCATGTAGTTTGTGTGTTTCTGAATGGGGTTTAAAAAAAAAATCATCGTTTCTACAAAGTTTTCGATCTTCAATTCGATTGGATGCTTTTTCTTTCGTTTTCACATCGATTTTGTTTTTTTTTTGTTTTTTGTTTTTTTGCTTTTGTTCACTTACGTAAATATTCTTATATATTCAGTTTTTTTTCTCGACATTTTCGAAATCAGCTCTCTAAATTTTGTGTATGTTTTTTTCTCGATTTTTTTTCATCTTCTTCTTGAAAATTCAATTTAAGCTATTTTCCGCCAAATTGTCTCGATAATCATTTCTTTTCGAATTTGTTTATTTTGCCCTGTTTTTTTGTTTTGTTTTTTTTTTTCGTTTCACAACAAGCATGATTTTCTGTCTAAAGAATATTGTGCGCTCCGTTTTCTGTTTCTTCATTTCATTCATTTTTCACTTGAACATTTATTAGTTTTTGTTGTAGCTGTTGTTGATGATGTTTGGCTTGTACTGTCTCATTATAATTTACTTCTTTTTTTCATTTCGTGTGTAAAAAAAATAATTCTCATTTTTTGTTTTTTCGTTTAAGCAAGTTTGGCTGTAATGCTCTCTAAATAATTGAATTCTATGATTTGTTTGTTTTGTGTGTTTGTTTGTTTTTTTTTTAATTCGATTTTTCTCAAGGAGGGATTGTTGTTTTTCGATTCGTGTGAGTTTGTGAGTATGTGTGTGCGAAATTCAGCAATAAAACTATGAAAAAGAAAAAATTGTTGGAAGACATAAGTTGGTTTTAGTAAATAAAGTTATCGACAAATCCAGATTGGTTTTGTTTTGTTTTTTTTTTCTGAATTAAATTTGCGGAAACAAGAAAAAAAATATTTCATAAGTGTGTGTGTGTATTTGTTGTTTTTTTTTTCTTATCAAGCAACAGCAAAAATATTTTCTTATGATCACAAATAGAAATATAGCAATTTGATAGAGTTGATGTTGTTTTAAACAGAGAAAAAAAAGTAGATCTATTGGCAGTTTAGGTAGGCTTTTGGTATATATATATATATATAGAAGTATATATATTGAAATTGTTCGATATTAAAATTAGTGTTTGTCTAAAGATGGTCGACTTTTTAGACAAGAGTGAAGAATGAAATAGAGTGTTGGAATTTCGATCATCAAGATTGAATATTGGGTATGGGATGAAAATTGGACATATTGTATTGTTCTTCGACAGAGCAGAAATTCTAGATTCGTTCTAAGATACAGCGAACAAGATGTATTTACTGTTGTTTTGTTTTTGCCTGGGGAGTAGCACTTATTAAGCGAAACCAATCACATATGCGACTAATTTGTACACCAAAAAAAATAAATAAATAGTAGAAGCGAATTATCCAAAAATCTAGGCGAGGTTTAGTTCAACAGAATATTACTCAAAATTATTTAAAAAAAAGAAGAAAACATTGATTAGAGATTTTGCAATAAGACAAAGTTCAGTGAACACACTTGAGCAACGGATATCGGTAACACAGGGGCATTTTTTTTTCCAAATCAAACAAATTCTCATGGTGGAGAAAAGGGTTTTTCAGATCGAAATGTACATGAAGTTAAATTGAAACGAATGCATACTGGTGTTTTAATAGCGCATTTGGATAAATTGCGTTTAGCTCGGGATATTTTAGTTCCGAAATAAATTTTCGTTATATTTTGTCTGCATTACCGATTTTACACATGCATGATCACTTTGCATTTGGTGTTAAAGAAAAGTATACGTAAGCGAATGACTATCATTTGTCGGATTTTCATTGTGAAAAACGTTGCTTCATTCTCTAGTAAGACAGAGTTGAGACAAAAAGAGAGAGAGAGAGAGGGAGAGAGGGAGAGAATGAGGGCGGAAATGAAAGAAAAATTGGTCCATTTTTAGTTTGTGTTTCAAAACTGAAAACAAAGCAACTTTTCGGAAACAAAGCCGTCAAAGCCCATTCACGCATTCCAACAATCCGACAAATGAAGCGCGTTTCAAATAATTGATACTGATTTCGAAAAACAAAAAGAAGTCTATTGGCCGCACAGCGCCGTAAGAGACCTTACACATCATGTTTCTGTTTACTTTTTTTTCTTCTTCTTTTATTAAATTTGTCAATTAAAAAAATAAATGGATCAATCAATATGTAAACTCTCTTAAAGTGTTTGGCATTTACCCGCCTTCCGATCTCTCTATTCTATAATCTTGCTTGCCCTTTTCAACTATTTCCTGTTCTTCATATTAGTGTTCTTTATTTTACAACAAATATTTTTACGGTAGTTTTTATGTGTGTTTATTGATTTATACAAATTACTTATAGAAAATGAAACTATTTAAATTTATGATATTCTTCAGTTTTGATTTTGTTTGATTTCTTTTTTTTTTTTAAACATATTAAGGAAAATAATACACTATATCATTAAGAGGAATTTGAATTTGATTTGTGTTGGAGAAAGGAAGTTCCAAATTTGAACAGAACAATCAAATACAATAGCAAAGAATATGAGTAGCAAATGAATAACTCGCGAAATTAAAGAAAAAAGAGAAATAAATTCAAAAGGAAGTAAAGATTTAGAACCAAAAAAAAAAGAATTCTTAATAAAAAAAAACCCGTACAAATCGAGAAAACAGAAATATCGTTGCATACATTAAAAATTAAGAAGAGTCATTAGAGATAATATAATTGAACAGTGTGTGCATGTCGGTGGACATAGAAAAATTCGAATTAATTAATTCAGTTGTTGGCGTATTTTTTTGTTGTTTCTTTTTTTTTTAATTGGAGTTTGGAGCGTAAAAATAATAAAGTGTGTGTGTTGTGTGTGTGGAGAATAGGGAATAATTGTTTTTTTTTTTGCGAGATTTTTTTTTTGCAAATGATTTTGTGGCTAGTGTTCAAAGGAAACTTACATTTTCTCCAGGCCCACCGAAACTGCTCAAATTATAATCGCCTATACCACTGCCGCTGTCTTCTCTAGGTGTGCCAGGTCCACCGTTGGCTGGTGAATTTTTCATGCCATCTAAATCGTTGCCATTAAGTACATTTCCCATTGAATTTGGACCGCCCATCGGCCCCATCGGATTTCCATCTCCACTCGAACCCATTGGAAACTCTTGTTTAAACTCATTCATCTGCTTTTGGTTTGGTTGGGTTTTGGTTTTTGTTTTTGATGCGACCGCATTGCGAGAAAGAAAATTGTTTGTTTTGATTTCAATTTAATTTGTGAATTAAATGTCATTTCATAAGGGAAAAATCATATAGTGTGCACTTACACCACCCATATTCCCTCCAGCCGGTTTCATTAGTGTGTACATATTATCCCCACCAGAATTTGACGAATCTAAAAATCAAACACAAAACATTTGTTAACAAGTTTGTTTGTTTTCTTCTTCTTCTTCTTCTTCTTCTTCTTCAAATGGTCATACGTATTGATTGAATTGATTTCATCAACTTACCTTGAGGTGAAGGCATTATCGGCGTACCTGGTCCTGGTGGACCACCTCCCGGCGGCCCCTACAATATGCATACATTTAAAATAGTAAACTCGTTTTCTTCTTGTTCGCATTAAAAATGAAATTTAGCTAAGATTAGTACTTACACCATAGTTTCCTGGTGACGATGACGAGTAGTTCATTGGTGTTGACGTATTTGGTTGCCATTGCGGTCGTCCTCCACTTGCCATTCCCATACCCGGTGGCATACCTGGTCCGCCTAAATACATTAATCATATCCAAATGGAAATATTAGGAAAATTTTCTTTTCTTTTTTTTCCGGCTTTTGCACAAAATTATTTTCACTTGAAAATTTCGCACAGCGATATTAAATTGTGATTCATACCTGGTGGTGGGCCCCGCATACCTCCTGGACCATAAGCTCCTGGTATTGGACCGCCGATAGAAGGACCTCGTGGTGGATTCATTCGTGGATTGATTGGGCCAATGCCTGGTGGGCCGCCTTTACACCAAACAACAATAAAAAAAAACAAAAAAAAACATAGTAAAAGAGAAATAGGGAAAAAATCGATGCAATTATCGGTCGTCTATAAATTGTGTCATAATAAATTCTCATATTGGTTTATTTTTCGGATATCTTATCACATTAAACTTTTTTTGTTTTTGGTATTCATATAATTAATATTGAACGGAAAAAAGTACAAATGGCCTACATGAGTTTACATAATAATACATTCATAAATTAAATAATTATAGTATAAAATTTGCAACTGTTGATAAAATGGCAAAAAGCACAAACATTGCACGAGGTGCGGATAATATGCGTGGATATTGGAATTAAATTTTTTGTTTTTAGTTCTGTATCTGAATAAAGCACCGAAATGCGTGTATATTTTTGCCGATTTGCGTATATTTGCTTACAGTAGATACAGTTTTTTTTGTTTTGTTTTCAACTTTCAACCAATAAATGTGAATTCTGATTTTAAATGAATGAACAATTAACACGAAAAATCACTTGAAAAACAACCGAAAAAAAAAGAATTTGCGAGCATAAATAAAAGCAAAACAATGTATGTGAGACATGCAGAATTGTTCTTTTTTTTCTTCTTCTTTTGTATCTGATCATTTCCATTATCGTTTGTGGTTTTTTCTTCCCTATCCAGCCAATCGAAACCATTCACTCACAAATTTGAATTTACGTGTTTAATTACAATCGAGCGGTTTCTATGGTTAGTTTGATCAAAAATGTTAATCAGTAATAGAATGAAAGTCAAATGAAAATGATAAGTTCAATCCTAATTTCACACATTCTCAAATAAAACACGAACCAAATTCGAATTGCATAATTGATAAGAAAAACAATATTCATAAATTGGCAATTCGTCATTTGAACTCGTGCCGGTTATTTTTTGATTCAAACAATGGTCATGGTGCGATTTGATTAAAATTCGATTCACAAAATTGATATGATAATGCGTGACACATGCAGATTAAATGAAGGCGAAAAAAAAACGCACACATACATCCAACCAATAAGAACAATGAACATTTTCGTAATTTTGCGTCGATTTTCGTACATATTTCCAAAATGAGTTGAGACACATTGTTCATTATTCTTGGCTAGGAGCTATTCATTAATATATACATATACAAAGACAAGTATGAGAAAAAGAAGCACGAAAAAACGGTGGAGAAGCAAACAATAATGATAACAATCAATGCTGATGCAACATTATTTCGAGATAGTAAATTCCAATTGATCAACATGATTCGCTAACCAACAGGCAATATTTTATGATAGAAAATTCCATAATTTTATCGATATATCAATTTCGCAAAAATGGACAGATTTGCCATCGCCATCGGAATCGATTTAACTTTCCTTCTATATATGTGCATCAATAAAATACCATTGCAATGAATGTTCTATCACAAAGCATTGACTGACTTTTTAACAAGCAATGCATTTTCAGATGCTCACAGTTGCTCGAACAAGTGAAACAGTGACCTATTTATTTGTTTTGTTGTTGTTATTCTACGACTTTTGAACAAATGAGAGCATTTATTTTGCTTCGTTCTCGTTATTCTATTCTTCGGAATTTTTTCGTTTTGAAAACAAGAAAAGTAAAAAAAGAATCATAGTTCCTGCAACCAAAATGGGAATACTGTGTGTGACAATGAACATGTATTGCGTTCAGTTCTAAAGCGAGCACAAAACTCGGTTCTCTCAGCTCATTTCATCCTTTCCAACTTCAATAGCTTTATTTCCAATTCGGTAGTCTAGAGAAATTTTTGTTTTGTTTTTGCTTTTGATTGTCTTTTGAGATAAAATGCCAATTAGAACAAAATTTTAAAATTTCAACGCAGAAATGACACAAATTTCTTTCAAAATGCCTAACGTTTTTTTTTTTGTTGTTGTTCGCTTTGAATTTCAATAAATTCCGGTTTTGAGAGCGAATATCCAAAAAAGGAAAGAAAAATTATATGCAGTTGAAAGGAATAAATGAACACAGCAGAAGAAAAAAACCAAAAAATAAACAAGAGAGACACGAATTGTACTTATATATAAAACGAAACTGAATGAACGAAATGTTAAAAAGAAAAAAACAAAAAAAAAATGGATGTCCATCCCCATTTCCAATTCAGGTATAAAATGCAATAAAACGCAATTGTCCAAATGCGATGTGTTTGACGATCCGTCGAAACGATTTTTTTTTCGCTTCGTCGTTTTCTCTGAACGATTTTCATGCGTGTGACAGAGAGCAATGTAAATCATGGACATGCTTTGATCGCTTCTTCAGCAACATTTTAAACATTTTAGTCAGAATACAGTCAGATGTATTTTGGAAAAGAAAATTGTTCGTCCAAAAATGTAAAATTTCGATTAATTTGGAATTTGACGAATTTCGGGTGTATTTTTTTGTTCAAAAAAATAGGTTTTTGATTTTGGAATCGATTTAATTTTTCAAAATTTTTATAAGCCAAATACAAATTTGCCAAATGACATTGCCAATCACTCAGAACATTGAGATTTTCAGACGCAAGAAAAAATCGACGCTCACAAACGCATCTCAATCATAAAAAATTTGTCATTTTCTCTCTTTCGTTCGTTTCCAGCCGACAAAATTTTGTAAAAGTGCACATGAATTTATCAAACGTAATGTTGCGCAGTGATTTTAATTGTTTTTCTTCTTTCACAATAAATGACAAACAAAAAAAAATGAGTAAATGTGTATGCATATTGTACAAATAAAGAAAATCAACTCAGGGAAAGTTATAATAACGTTACGAGTAAAGTAAATGTCAATGGAGATAATAGAGGAAAAACCATTTGTTTGTGGTTTTCATAGTTGTGTTTGTGTTTTTTTTTTCTCTCATCAATTTGAACGAAAATGAAAGTAAAGCAACAACAAAATTATATATATATATGTACTCAAAATAGAGGTATGAAATCAAATTTGTGAATAAATTAAAACCAAAACAGAAAAAAAGTTAACAGAAAAAAAAACTAAGTAAAATTCATAGAGGCAGCTGACAAGCGACACATATAATTGCCTACCTTGCCATGCTACAAAATCGCCAGCTTCACCTATAAAATAGGAAAAAGAGATAATATTTCTTATTTTAATTTGTTCGATTTTTGCATTTGTTTGTCGTATGCTCTCTCTCTCTCTCTCTCTCTCTCTCTCTATCTCTCTCTCCCTCTCTATCCTTCGCTCTGGGATATTAAACAACAACCATCGGATGGCAGCAAGACCAAAAACAACTTAAATGACAACTGTAGCGACGCGAGCGCCCTCAATTTCAATAGGCAAATAAATGTAATTTCGGAATTTTTTTCCGAACTAAACAGCGCGAAAATTTGAATTTTCTTGATGCTGCCACCCTATGACATCAACACAACTAACAATTTAGCTGGTTTGGTTGCATCATGGCAACTGACATACCATCTCTCCAATATGTATCTCTTTGTGCATTATTCTCTTCTCGTTTTTTTTTCCAATTCAATAAATCAAAGGGCAAAATAAATTGTGAGAAAAAAAATTTGTCTTTTATATCGTCATCGTCTGTTGCTACGCCAACCAGCCGAATGCGAACAGAAAATACGTGTCTGTCGTTCGTTTTTTCCACATCTGAACTCAGTAGGAAATTCATTAATTAATGAAAGAATATTTTTTCCCGCTTTTTTTTTGGGATGGGGAATATTTTTTCTCGCTTTGTGACAATTGTTCGATTGATTTGCGCGAAGTCCCGACTCAGCCGAGGACTTGATTTGGTTGTGTTAAAACAGTTGAATTGTGAGAGAATAGATGTTCTTGGAAAATTGGTAATACAAAAAAAAAACGGAAATTCCTGAGTCAATCAACGCGAGATATAACCGTTTATCGTGAGCCGTAGGTTCACGTGAATATGTCGTTAGTAGCTATATGGTTAAGTAAGAAGGCAGAAAATCTATGGAAAAGCCATTCCGAAAATTCTATTCGCTCGAATTGGTTTTAGTCTACTACTTAGTTGAATTTAACAAAAAAAAAAAAAAACGGCTTAAAATCTCATAATCATATGGATGGAAAATGCATTCATTTCTGTGTCTCTTTTTGAGCCTATGGTATAACAGCTAAATTAAATCCCTCACAGTGTCTGCTTTCTTAAAAATTTCTCTTTGTTTTTTAGTTTTCGATTCCCTTCAATTACAAGCTAAAATTCGCTTTTATTTTGTACTTCGAGAGGAACAACAGGAACAATTTTACTATTTAGTTCAAAAATCCAAAAAAGTTGACGAAGAAAAAAAAAATCAGTGGAAAAAACATTGACGAATAATCCGAATTAAAAAAAGATAAACCAATGAAAAAAAAAGAAACATAAATAAAACCACAATTAACGAGACAATGTGTTGCCAAATGGAATGATTTTCATTTCTGAGATACTGATAACTAAAATCACATCTCAAGTGCTACTTTTTGCGATCTTAATGTGCTTTCGTTAATTTATGATTTTATCGGAATAATTTTGGTGGTGTGAGGTTTTGGTTTAAGGATAAACAATTTTTGTTGTTGTTCATTTTCGAAAAGAAAAACAAAGCCAATTTTACTAGTTTCATACAAAAAACAAAATAATAATATATCGAAAGGGAAAAAAACTGTATATATGTATACTCAATTTAAAATGTGTGATAGAAAAATACCTTGCCGTGTTGGATCCATACTATTTGGCATCATTGGTTGTCCAGGTGGCTGAAAATGATCGTACAAAAGATGTTAGTATGCACACGTTGTGTTTCGGATTGATTTTGTTTTTGGAAGCGTTTCCGATTCATACTTACTCCATTGAATTCGTTTCCAATTCCTTGTGGCATTCGAACGCCAGGTCCTCTAGGACCTGATGGATACCGAGGCGCGCCCATAAACGACTATGAAATAAAGAAAAATACACGTACAATTTTAGTTAAACGATGTCTTATAGCCCATTCGGGCCCATTTCAATGAATCTAAAATTCCAATTTTAAACTAAAATTTACTATTTCAAAATCTGAACGTTTTTTTTTCTCGGAAAATATCACATAATTTTCGCTTTCATGCCCAAAGCATTTTCGCATATTGGAAAACAACGACATCGAAATGCTTAGATTTATGCCGACATTAATATGAATATAAGCGCACAATGATCAAGCGTCGTGTATTTTCTTTTCTGTTTGACAAAAACTCTCTTGTAACTTGTGCCAATTGGCCGATCGCATGCGATCGCTGTAGTCACAACTGTAATCACTTGATTTTATACTATACACCAAATGAAGAAAAAAAAGGTATTAATATCACCACAATATACTTGTTTGTTTGTTTTATATCAAAGAAAAGTAAGAAGCGGAAGGGAAAAAACACAATGGCTTAGTAAGAATACGACATCAAATCACATCACATTTAAATGAAAACGAGAAACATTTAAAACAATGATGATGTTAACGGTTGTGTTCTGTGTTCTTTTTTTTTGTTGACAAAATATAAACAAATTGCCACAAAAATTAAATTCGATTTTTTTTTGTACAAAAAACAATTTTACACAAAACATTTAAAAAAAACCATTTTTTTTTCTTCGGAACTAAAACTAAATTAAAGAGATGAACGGTGCCTGGTTTGGATCACACACACACACCAGATATGATCACGCAACCGATCAAGTGTGTGAAGCATCGCGATCTTATGAGCAACATGAAGTGTGACATTTACTTATAGGATTCGTATTTGTTTAAATCTCGTGATACTTTTTTGAATCGAATCGAAACAGTTCGCATTGAGTGGGTGGTAGATCGTCGCTGAAACGTCGCTGCTGTTGCAAAACTAATATCTATTGTCGAAAAATTGGAATTGGGCATCGAAAAACGTGTAAACATGTAAATGCAATTTTGTGATACGGTGCATAAAAAATTAGATAGAGAAAAATGGCAGGCATATTGTTGTTGGTACAGTTTGTTTGTTGTTGTTTTGTTCAGAAAGAAAAAGAAATATTGTTCGTGCAACAAACATAAAACAAATAAAAATGATTTTGAGAGTTACAAAAAATGAATGGAGATGGAACGAGGTGTGAGGTTTGGGGTTGGTAGTGTGTAGGATAAACGGTGGTGAAGTGAAGGTGGCGGCGATTCGTCGGTTTTAATTACGCATTCATTCTACTGAGTCCGTGTCGATGGATCGAAATAAGGTTAGAATTGATTGTCTTTCTCTCAATGAATCAGCCAGAGATCGACTTGTAAATTTCAGCTCCACATTTCCCGAAGCATTTTTCCCAATTCAATATGTTATTTTCTTTTTGCTTTGCTTTGTTTTCGCATTTTGCATTGTTATTTACAACCGAACACCAACCGAAAAACTAACCTGTACCTGACCGGACATCAATTGATTATGCGAAGATGGTGGCTGTGGATGCGGAGACTGCTGACTTGTTGGGTGTGTTGGCGGTGATGGTCTCAGTGTAGAATTCTGTGAAATACACATAAAATGCAACGAAAAAAAAACGGAAAAAATGTACAAACACGACAAAGAACATACAAACAGTCAAACAAACGAACAAACAAAACACCGTGAATTTAAAAAAAAAACACACAACTTAAACTGAAACACAACACCGATATCGATATACGACTGATTAAAAACGCAAAATTTGTTGTTGTTACTTTGATACAGCATCAAAAACGGCACAGACATTATTTCTGCGATTGATATTTGCTTTTCAAAAGTTTGCTTTTGCCACTAGCTAGTGGCGTTTTTGCTAAATAATTTTGTTGGCGTTGTTGTTGTTGTTTTTTTCTTTTTCTTTTGCCATTCACTGGCTACATAAATGAATGAAAATGTGATTTTATTTTTGGTCAAATGATTAAATATTTATTTTATTTTACTCGAGTCATTTTCTCGTTTTGGCATTTGATCCATTGAAAATTTGTTTTGGGTTTTCTCTCTCGCTGGCTCACATAATTTACATTTTTTTTCAGCGATTTTTTCTTCTTCCTTTTTTTCTCTTTCCAAAAAAATGACTTACGCATAAAATAATGCAATTGTGTGTCTATTATATGCTACTCTCTTGTTGTTGTTGTTTTTTTTTCATTCAACAGTGTTTCGTTTGAGTTCAATATAATAATAAAATTTGCAGCGGAAAAACACAGAACAGAAATATAACATGAAATACATAGGTTTTGTTCTTTTGGTTGAGTGAGAAAAACGAAAAACATAAAAATTAAAACACAGAAATGTTCAAGAAGTAAAACAGAAATACCAAACAGAAATTATATTCATCATATATGGCATAAAATGTGCTTTCATTTTGTATACACACACGCGGCATAGTTTTACAAATTTATTTTGGTTTTTCATCAAGAATTTTGTTGATTCGCAATGAAAAGAGAGACACGAACATGTTTCTAAGACTCTTGATTTCTGTGTGTGTGTGTGTGTTGCGCGCTTGTTTTCTTTGTCATACAACGATTGATCAATAAACAAACAGAAAATAGAATTGATTTGCTTAAAGGACGTCTGTCGATATCGATTCCTAGCGTTTGCAAGGTACATATTAACTGCATTCAAAAAAGGATGAAACATGAATTGACGTGCGATTAATGATTTAAAATGATTTTTGAGGGGGAGGGTTGGTAAAATGTGATATGCGATTTGTTTTTTTATTGTTGCTTTTGCGATTTGCTATGATTAGATACTAATTTACTAATTAGAATAATGTATCAAAAAAGGGGGAAAAATGGGCGCTCATTCCAAAAATACATCATTATTGCATAGCAGCGAAGATAGAGATTTCCAAACAAAAGAAAAAAAATTAACAAATAGTTGTGTATTCATTCAAGTGCTCCGAATTTGGACGCGTTGGAAGCAAATGTCACATAAAATTCGATCAACTTCTTATGGACGGCGTCATTTCATTATGCAGTGAATTTCATTATTTTACAGTCTTTCTCTTTTTTTGTTGTTGTTCATTATGCTGTTTTCACATTCGAGATTTCGAATGTTGTTTTCATTTGTTGTCGCAAAAAAAATGTAGCAATCGAAAACGAAAAATTGCTCATCTACGTCACTCGATGATCATCTATGAAAATAAGCTGAACCGAAAACTTACTGGAAAAAAGTTTGGTGCCATTGGTCCACCTGGCATTCCTTCATTTGGTGGCAGTTGACCGATAGGACTAGGTGCAGGACCAGCATTCTATATTTAGGGGATAAAAATAATTCCAGTTTAGATACCAGATTGCCACACTCTCAAAAAAAAAACAACAACAATCAATGACAGTTTACAAAAAAGATTGGTTTAACTTACGTGACCGATGCCATTTACGCCGTATCCTGAACTAACAAAACCCTGTTGCGCATGAGGAAAATCACGATTAATCGTTGGCTATTTTTAATTTATCAATTTATTCATGGGTTGGTATAAGCGATGGTACTTTCAATTTATTAACACTTACATAGTCGTGAAACGCTTTTGCTTCGGATGAATGATCACATTGTTCTCTTCTTTCTGGTGCCGCACAATAAAGATCCCAGAACACACTGAATAGATGGAAAAGATCGCATCGAAAATTAATTGACACTCAATCTCTTTGATGCCGAGCAAATGGGGGGGGGGGGGGAAACAGACGAAAAAAAAAGAGAAGAAAAATACTTACCACCACCAGGAATGTAGGAATCCAGGCGGTTCGCCTAGTGTGATGTTTTTCTCCCATCGGATTTCCGAGAGAAATGTCTGTGCGGCTTTTTGTGCTCCAACATGCAGTAGATATTCGTACACATAGAGGGCCAATCTGAAGTTTCAGACAAAAACGAGAGAAAAAGATGCACAACAATGAATCAGATGTTGATAATTGACCAAGTTACAAGCAAATGCAATAAATATGATTCCCATTTGGGAGAAAGAGTTAAAGCGAAAAAAATGCATTTGCATTTCAATCAAGTTCTAATTTCACTACGGCTAAATTAATAAAGTGTGATCAGGAATATGAGTGATGGTGGAATTATGATTCATCATTTCGCATGGAGAAAGACAGCGTAAAGCAACACCTCATCATTTTTAGCGCACCGATTTCAAAGAGCCAGACATATAAATTTGGAATCATTTTGCAGATCGCTCCCTCTCTATCTCTCAATACAATAACGATTGAGCGGAATATTTTTCTGCTTAAAATAGGTTTATCGCCATCGAAATTGATGATTATTTTGGTTTCAGTATTCAGTCTCGTTGCATATTCAACCAGGAAACGGTGAGCAACAACAACAGCAGCAGCAGCAGCAGCAGCAGCAGCAATAACAGCAGTAAAAGCCGAACCAGTAGAATACCTTTGAATAATTCGTGCGTTTAACACATAGTCTTTTGTCGGATAGCATCTAGTGAGAGCGTTTTCTTTGCATTATTATTATTGGCAGTTTGACGTTTTTGCAACGTTTGTGAGTGAACCAGGCGATTGTATTTAAAGTATAACAAAAGATGCAACACTACCGAATGTGAGAGAGAGAGAGAGAGAGAGAGAGAGAGAGAGAAAGAGCGCGCGCTCGGCATGATGTGTGCATTTTTTTGTTGTGTGGTGGAAATAGCAGCGGCAAAACGGCAAAACGGCAAAATCAAAACCAAATACCTTGCACGTACACAAATTTCAAGCAAGAGAAACAGAGACAGAGAGAGAGAGAGAGAGGAGGAGAGCGAATAGAGCGCGCGCGCATCGTTTCAATGAATGAAAGAGAGACGCAATGCATGAGATAAACTTACAAATGCTTTGTAGAACGCTTCAAGATAAGCACGATGCGGCTACCGAGGCCTAAATATTCCACTTGGTACTCGGTATGTGCTCGTTTTTATTTTACTTTTTTTTCATATCATATTCTGTGTGTATTTCGGTATGTGTTCAAATGAGACTCGTGTGCTTGCTTGCGTATATCAGCGCGTTGCTGCCGCTGCTGCGAGAGTCTGTCCAATGGTTTTTGGTTTGTTTTATGAATTTGCTTCACAACGGATTACCTTGCGCGCTCAAAAGGAAACATTTTGCACTCATGCATCGTTGCACGTAATAATATTATGTTGCTGGACATGATAAAAACGTTCTTTTTTTTCGTTGTTGTTGTTGTTGTTTTGAACCAACGAAAAACAAAAACATGAAACACGTAGAAAATAATACATATATTATTGACATAGAATCGAGCTGCCACCATGGCTCAGACTCTCCAACCATGATGCCCCAATGTTATTTATCAATCAAATAACGATTCGATGGACGGTCAGAATTGCAAACCAATTCATTCGATACGGTCATCATATCGAGGCACAGGTAGTTGTTGGTGCATGCACACACACAAACAGTGAGAGACACACAATTTCGGATTAAATATCTCTCATTGGACGTTTTTTGAATTTTTTTTTTTACAATTTTGTCTGTGCTTCAATAGTAAAACGGCAGCAGCCGAAGTAGTAACAATGTTTGTACGACTGTGCGTTACCCTATTATGCTGTTGATGTCGTTGCTGTTGCCGTGAAATCGCAACGTTGCACACGCCGGAATGCTATGCAACTTCTGCCGTCATCACTTGATAAAACAAGCAGCATGATGAGAGCGCTCTGGAAACGGCGAACAATATGTTTTATGTTATTTCATTTCACATTTCTCTCTCTCACTCTCTCTCTCTCACTCGCTCTTGCTCTGTATTTTTGCGAAAGCATTGCGCGAGTTCTGTATGTGTGTGTGTGTGTGTGTGCTAACAATGGGTTTGAAGTTAGTTAGTCCATCATATCAAGTGGCTTTGAAAACAAATGCGCCAATTATTTCTGAAGAACATGGTGCAAGAGCAACATGAAGCGGCAAATAGCGCGATGACGACGACGATGACTTCTTCTTCTTTTGCATAAAATATGCCCATCGCCCTACAAACCAGAATAACATTTTCCCAAAACGAACAGAGAAGAACATCCTTCATCAAATCATCCATACACAAATCCACACAGTTTTTTTTTCGTTCATTCCACTGTTCTTCTCTTCAGCTCTCTGTTGCTTTGCTTCATTTGCATCGAATCGGTTTCGAATCAGATTTGCATCAAAATATTCACTTTAACTTCGTCACACTGTTGACCGATGAACTTCGAACACGAACAACGGCAGAGCAACAGCAAAAAAAAAAAACAAGAAGAAATAATGCATTTGGAAATAATGAAATGAATTTTGGCGATGGGTAAAAGTACGGTTTTTGACATAATCAAGCAAAATGCATCGGTTTGCATCCTTTAACTGTGCATTTCTCTTTTTCACTACGATATGTTTACACGACGCAATTTTTTTTCTCGCTCTCTGTGTTGTCTGTTTTTTTTTTTTACGTGCTTGTTCCTGCGTGCTACCACGAGAGCTTATATACTCAAACAATTTATCGATTTCATATTTACGTAAATATAACCATTTTTATTTTTTTTTTTTCATTTCATGTGTGGTGTAGGACACGATTCAGTAAAAATTGCAATGACAAAATCTCGTCTTTTTTCTCTCTCCTCGGTCTTTCTATCTCACTCGACCAATCGCATGTCGCTCAATGTATGCACACCGCAAAAATGGGCCGAATATGAATGGTTTGGAGCGAAAATGTATTACAAAAAAGTTGAGCGAAAAAATGTCAAATGAAAAGGGATAGCTATATAGTTCACTACACAGTTCACTATATAGGTATCCCTTTTCCGCTCATTCATCATCGACATTTTTCCGCTCAACTTTTCTGTATTACATTTTCGCTCTAAACCATTCATATATGGTTTGAGGAGGTAGGAAAAATAGCCAACGATTAAAATGTGTTTGGACATTTGCCTAAACAAATGGTTTTGTATGCACATCTTTATTATACCTCGCTCCCCTTCTATCGACCAGAAAAAACAACAACAAATGATGAAAGTAAGACAGAATGGAAAAAAAACTATGCCATGAGTTTTCGTTCAATCGCATTCATGAATGTGAATGAATATGGAACAAATATGATTTATGCACACTGACAAAATGCATTTTACGAAATGCACATGCATAAAAGATCTCTTCGTGGTGGAAGGAGGAGAATATTAGTCGTGTGTAAGTGTTTACCACGCATATAACAACAACGTAACGTGCGTACAAATTCAATGTGCAAATGAATGTGACGAAATCTTGCCAGTCTGTGTCTAATAACAGGTACCGCGAACGTGAGCGTGCGCGCGCGCACCTCTTGCTCGTGGAAACACACTTTGCCAAAGATTTGCGTTTCCGTTCAATCGGCGTTCTGTGTGTTATTTTTCTTCTTCTTCTTCTTTTTCTTCTTTTACTTCGTTTGGTATTTCTTTTATTGCAAAAGTTTCAATGAAACTATAAAAACAAAATATGGCAAAAAGTTTGTTCATTGGTGTTGATATGCTGTTGCCCTGTTGTTGTTATTGTTGAAGCATAGATAAATTTGTCAACGCTGGAATATTCTAAGTTAATGTAGCGTCAAGTGCATCGTGCGTCGGCTGATTACGACACGCTGCTCTATTCGTGAGACTGGGTGAGTGAGTGAGTGAAAGAGAGCGAACGAGCGAGCGGCAACAAATTTTTCGAATCAAATTGGCCGATTGTTGAAAATGGTTATACCAACACTTGTTACAACGTAACAACGGCCAATATTTTCGCCAAAATCCTGGGCCGTTTGCATTTGGTCAAGAAGAGAAAAGAATAATTCGATTCGATCTTGTTTCGGGTTCGTTTTTTATTTTCGTTTTATTGCAGGAAATGCATTAAAAGCGCTTGAGAATAGAACGCCATCGAAAGATGCATCAAAAATCATCAGACATGACCAACTGTCTGTATATTCAAAAGGAGTTTAAGTGTATTTAAGCGAACAATACATGAACGAACCTAATCCATGCTCAAAAACATGCCATAGTATGTGTGTGTGTGTGTGTTGATAAAACGTTTATTTACTTTATCGAGTGTGAACGTGACAGAGGCAGAATGAGAGGCAGAGAACAAGAGCGACAGTCACAGTCGTATAGGGGCAAATAGTGGTAACGTTTTTCGGTGTGTATAATACCGACTTTTCACGTTCTGAAGATTTAGTTGAATTGTCCCTATCTCGCGCGAGAACGAGAAAGCGGGAATAAGGGAAAGATAAAGAGAGAAAGACATACACAGATTCGACCGATTCAAATGCAAGCACAACACCACCACGTACACATACGGCATGTGGCGTATACAGTGTGACACGCACACATATCCCCAAGTATATAAAATATATATATATGTAAAGAGAGAGAGAGAGAGAGAGAATTGTTTTTCTATATGTATGTACCGAATGACGCTTGGAAGCGCGAATATACACCATCGTTGGCTCACTAGGTGAATTTAATAGAGTTGTTTCACCGCATGAAGGCTCACCAAATAACCGAATGTGAAATACAATAGAAACATACACTGCATGAATGATGACGAAAGAAAGGGAAAGAAGGGGAACACAAACGAATAGGCAACGGCAACATAACAAACAAATAAACAAAACGTTTGCATGAGAACGCGTGTAGATCGTTTGCATGAACGCAAATCGTTCACTCTCTATCTGTGTGTATGTGTGTTTGTGTGTGTGTTTGTGTCTCACTCACTCTGCTTTCTCTCTGCCATGCTGTGTGCCACATCTGTCTACCTTGCTGTCTCTGTCATTCGTGTTCGGCTAAGATGTTCGAATGTGTATTTCGAATGCGATTGAAGCAGCGCGCGTTGTTTTTGAGCGCCATTTAGCCTATACATACATATATGCACACAGTAAGAAGGTGCACAGT